TTTTTGATGTAGAAGTGGGTGGTCTTCCAATGGGCCGCATAGTGTTTGAGCTCTTTGCAGATATTTGTCCACTAACATGTGAAAATTTCCGTGCTTTATGTACTGGAGACAAAGGACTTGGGAAAACAACTGGCAAACCATTACATTACAAGGGAATTGTTTTTCATAGAGTAGTTAAAGATTTCATGATTCAGGGTGGTGATTTTTCAGTAGGTAATGGAACAGGTGGAGAATCAATTTATGGAGGAACATTTGCAGGTATACTTATAAACATATTTTACATGTTAAAATGAGCTGTAAATATAATTTACTTGCAACAATATTTTCCAGATGAAAATTTTATTATAAAACATAGTAAACCATTTTTATTGTCAATGGCAAACCGTGGTAGGGACACAAATGGTTCACAATTTTTTATGTGAGTATTCATGAAAAGAATAATTAAATTTGATAAAATTATGTAAAAATGTATTTTACATAGAATAAATTAATTGATTATATCTATAATTGATGAAGTGCAGGATGGTGTGATACATTTACAATATGTGTAGTCTTTAAAATACTGAGACATTAATGCATTATATTGTTTTACTAAAAATTTATTTTGCATGTTATTATTAACAAAAGTGATCAGCTTACTAAAGGTTAATATTTGTAGTTGCAAGACAAAATATTTTGCGTATAGATTTTATTTTTTTAATATTTCTAGTAATAGGAATTTAATATATATTTATTTTCACATTTTAACACTTTTCTAAGCTTACATGTTTTTAAACATGTATTAAGTAAGAATAACAGGTGATGTAATAGTTGAGTAAAAGGACAATTGGGATTATTATTGAAAAGGATTTCAATAATAAATTTTATTATATTCTTTCAACTTTTGATGTTGATTGTGTCATTTTAAAATTGTTTAGTATTTAACAATTTATATTAGTCACATAAATCTTCTGGTGAATACTGAAAAGCATAGAAGTAAGAATATCTTTGAAGGAATGAATAACTTAGCTATATTTCTGTGTAGTCGTGAGGGAAGGGTCTGCACACCACTACTACAACACAATGACCAATGAAAGCTGGCTCTTTCTGTTCATCTCTCATCCCCTTAATCATATTTTGTTGTTGTAGTACAACACAACCAGCGCCTCACCTCGACAAGTACGTAAATATAAATAATATATCGATTTTTTGAAATAATACTTAAAAAGTATTTGTTACATTTAAACGTAAAAATGTTTAGTGTCCATGTGGTTTTTGGAGAAGTAGTAACTGGCCAGGAAATTGTTACACATATTGAGGGACTTCCAGTAGATCGCATGTCTCGCCCATTACAAGATGCGAAGGTTGTAAATTGTGGAGAACTTGTATTAAAAGTCAAAAGCAAAGGTACACTTTTTTTTTTTATTACACATCGTTATATTTAAAAATTAGCACGATATCAACTTAATATATTTTAATTTATAGCAAAGAAACGTGAAACAAAGGAGAGCAGTTCATCTGAGTCTGATTCTGATTCATATGCAGAAAAACCGAAAAAGAAAAAGAAGGCTAAAAAAAAGTATAGTTTATTCGAGGCTTATAATTCACATGATAATAAATAATAAAGTAGCATTGATATTTGTTTACATTTCAGTAAAAAAAGAGCAAAATCAGAGGATGGCGAAATTCATGATTCCAATGAAGATGACCTTGGAAAACCTCATCCACTTGTTTCGGTTACAAAAATCGATCCTGATGAAATTCCGGAAGTACCAGCGAATAAATTTTTGTATAGAGCAGGGCCTACTAATAATGCAAATCAAAAGGAATTTAGACAACATTATGGAAGAGATCGGGTACGATCGCATAGAAAAACTGGTCGCATATTTAAAGGAAGAGGAATATTTGTAAGTATTTGAGTGCAATGTATAACACATGGTATGTATGAATCTCCGACAAAAGAAATATTTTTCTTTTTTTGAAACTTGATACTTTTTTATGTCTAACATCGAATGACAAAGTAAATGAATGAGTACATAAAATTTCAGCGGTATCATACGCCGTCACGTAGTCGATCGAGAAGTGTTACACCACCGCATTGGAAACAAGCTCAAAATCGTACTATTAAGTTACACGAATTTCAGGCAAGTAATCATGTTTGAGCGTATATAGTAGAATTAGTTCACAATCATATTTTTGTGTGTTTCACATTTATATTGCAGAAATTAGAAAAAGAACGTTTAAAGAAGGAAGAAGAATTAAAGAAACGCGAGGCGGATAGAATTAAAAAGTTCACTGAAAATCCTGACGAAGATAATCAAGTAATGGATAAATTCGAAACTGAACCTAATATATCCAAGGAGTTGGAGAATAAAGAAAATGATCAGGCAGATGATAAAAAGAGTAGCAATAAAAATATGGATCAGGATCAAGATAATTTAAATATTAGTTCAGATGTTAACGATATTACGACAAAAGATAAAGTAGATGGAAAGCATAAAAATGAAAAAGTAATAAAGCGTGATTTACATCGATCATACGGTGATAGATCTTCGCGAAGAGACTCACGGGATAGGAGTAGAAGACGCGGAAGTGGTCGATCGAGGTCACGAGATCGACGAAGATCTCGGGATAGAGATTACGATCGTAGGAACAGTCGTGACAGAAGAAATAGGAGGAATTATTATCCTCAAAGACGAGATACTTATAGAATGAATAGACCTGGCAGAGATAATTATAGATATTACGACAGACGTAACGATTATAGAAGGACAAACAATTCTAATTCTAATTACGATGCAGATATTAATTCATCCCGTTATGATAAAAATCGAAGAAAGAGTGATAATACTTCAGACTCTAATAATCAGCCAAAATTTAAGCGCCGTTCACGTTCAACTAGTTCCAGTAGCCAACACTCCAAAGACTAAATGCAATGTTCTCTTATTGTTTTTCTGCATAATACAGACAAAAATATATTTTATGCAGTCAACTACATTCATTACGTTTACAAATTTTTTATTTTAATTTGCTTTTCGTATCATGTATAAATTTATGTATAAGTAACTCTGTCTTAAATTTATGACTTAAACAATGTCGATTACGATGTTCAAATGTAAATTTCAATTTTCCAATATTTAGAATTATC